AGAAGGGTTGCTAAGTATTTGGAGACTTGTTATGGTTTGAATTATGTCCTCCAAAAAAAAGATATATTTGAGTACTAACCCCGAGGACCTCAGAATGTGAACTTACTTGGAAATAGGGTTGTTGCAGGTGTCTTTAGTTAAGATGAGATCATACCAGTGTAGGGTGGACCCCTGATCCAAAATGGCAGGTGTCCTTATAAGAAGACAGCCATGTGAAGAGGGAGACGCACAGGAAGAAGTCATGTGACTACACAGGCAGATGCTGCAGCCTTGCTGCTGTAAGCCAAAAGACACCAAAAATTGCCAACAAACTGCCAGAAGCTAGAGAGAGGCAAGGAAGTATCCTAGAAACTTTAGAGGGAACATGCCTTGCTGACACTTTGATGTCAGGCTTCCAGCCTCCAGACCTGAGATCATACATTTCAGCTGTATTAAGCCACCCAGTCTGTGTGCTGTTGTAGCAGTCCTAGGAAACAATACAGATTGGACAAGGCTTTGACCTTAGGACGGGAGAACCCACTTAAATGTCTTTGCTGGCCATGGGAGCAGGCCCATAGAAGTAAGGGGGGCATCTGTTTGTACCGTGGGCACTTTCACAGGTGGCTGTAGGAATGCTGGAGCCACTACTGCCCCTCACATATTCACAGGCGACGTTGTCACAACTGCCCCCAAGTCAGTCCCTGACAACAAAGGCATGCAGCTTGCAGGGGTCATGGCCACGGAAATTAAGACCCTGGGTTTTTGCTGGTTTACTAGGCTGCTGAATCAACAAGCTCTGCAACTTACACTTACATGGGAAACTCAGTTTCCTATTGTTTCAGTCACTTTGCTCAGGGTAATCTGTTACATAGTTTCCATGTTGCACCTTTTTCTTTCCCTCTTAAAGTAATCTTCCGTGAGTCGCAGTACACTACTGACACACTGAGTCTGTAAAAAATTGTACTGATCTTGATTTTCACACCGACCTTTTTACTATGCCAGGCAACTATCACACCAAGTACTAGGCGAACCCCTAGGATTTTTCTTCTCTTACACCGCTGAGATGATACTGCTTTAACCCAGAATTTTTCAACTTTAGGAGCATCCAAATGAGGCAGTGAGAGGAAATAAGTGGAGAATGTTAACAACGTGATAGCCAATGCAAGCTGCAGCTCCGAGCTGCCCCAGTGAACTACGCATTTGGTCTGCTCGTCGACATTTGATTGTGTGGTATAGTCACATTCCATTAGCTGCCTGGTTTGAAGCACAGCGTATTTGAATTAAATATTGCAGTTACTCAAGCTGGTGAAATAAAAATGGGAAAAGAATAATTTGATTCCATATCTCAAAAACAAAGTAAGATCAAGGATCTTGCAGCTGCGTTTTCAAAATAAAAGCACTGGTTGCCTGCAACGGTTTTATCGCGCTGGCACCGGCACTGCTCGCACTGCTGTCGTGGTCAATCTAAACACCACTTACTCACACGAGCAGAAGGGAACACGTATTAAGATCAATATACTGTGCAGTCCATCATACTGAAGAGAAGCAGAGTTTGCCACCCCAAAATATGCCTTTTGGGATGTCAATTTTGTGCTGCCTTTTAGGAATCCAAAGACTCAGAAAGAAATTTGACCTTCCCTCTAACTGCCTAAAAGGCATTTACATAGACAACCTGCCCCAGAAAAGGATGTGTCATCGTAGATAACTACAGTTTAATCTGAACTAGGTAGACAGGGAAGAACCTAGCAAAGCCCATTTGTTCAAAATCCTCCTTGTCCCACTGGGATCTGAGAACATCAGCTTCCTTTAGACTCCAAAAGGTACACCACCTTCCTCGTTACGCTGCCCCAAATTTGAGTTGAGTGCCCTCAGTTATGCTTTCCTTTAATAACAATGAAAATCTACAGAGAAATTTGCTAATGCCAATAGTTGGCCTCCTCAAACTACCCTTCAAATTCATCTTCTTCTTTGGCTTTTTTTACCAATGGATTCATTCATCCAACAGATGCTCACTGAGCACCCACTCTGTGCCCCGCACTACACTGAGAGCTGGGTGTCCCAAGTCCCTGCCGAGCGTAGAGTCCAGCCAGGAGGCCAGCCTGCCGACAATGACAATAGAATGGTCATGGTGGGCTAATGGGGTGTAAAGGAGCCTCACTGTCAGCCAGGGATTGAGGAAGGTGTCCTGGGGGAAGATGCTGAAATGTGAAGACTGAAGAGGAATGTTTCAGGGTTCTCAGGGTCCCTCCAGACAATGTCCCTCCAGACATGAAAGGGCTCAAGGGAATCCTGCATCAAGATGCATTTGCAGAACTACTTGTTCGCCTGCTGAGGCATGAAGCACAAGTAAATTGGAGAAAAGTACCCTGGAATGAGGCTGGACAGCTAAGTAAGGGTTGGAACTCAAGGGCTTTGCTCACCCTCCAAAGGAGTTTTGATTTTGTCTTGCAGTGTTTCTCAATTTCACGAGAGCCCTACAAAATGTTTTGTTTTGTTTTCGTTTCGATGATAATTTTATTTATAATAATAAAATGGCAGGAATAGTGGTAAAAACATACTCCAGAGCATCTGGACAACCATGTGCCACACGACTTCAGGGACCACAGTTACGTTCACTATTAAGGTGGCACCAAGCCAGAGTGGCCCCAGCGGGAGGCCAAAGGAGATGCCGTTTGCACAGAGAGCTCACCCGAGCTGACACCGAGGACAGTGGTGGGAAAACTGGGTCTCCACGTGGCACGGGGTAGTGAGTACAACAAAACAACTGAAAATAATCTGTTCTTTCATGGTCTGAAACAGTCACAGTGCAAAGGAGAACTGAGTTTCACAAAACAATGTCATTTGTCTCAGTAAATTAAAGGTGCTTACTTGTGTGTTACCAACTTTGTAGTTTTTTCATAATACATTTTTCCTTTTGTTTTATAGTTCTATAAATGTAAGTGATTAGGAGTTTATTCTTAGTTTTACGTTTTTTAAAACCTATTTTAGAAACTTTTTTAAAAGACAGAGATGAGAAGGGAGAAAAGAGAGGGACAGAACCACTAATGTGAGACAGAAACGTCTGTGGCCCTCCTTCTGCAAGCGCCCCACCTGGAGACGGAGCACAGAGCCCACAGTCCAGGTACGTGCCCTGACCGGGAATTGAACCCATGACCTTTTGCCATGCAGGACAATGTTCAACCAACTGAGCCATTCTGGCCAAAGCTATTTAAGAAACATTTAAGATGTGAGTAAACACTGGAATCTGCAGGGTTTTTCTTTTTCTCTAAAATGGGTCTGTCCATATCCCAAATATGAAAGAGAGGGTCATAGACGATAGGAAGCCAATGTAGACATTGCGCAGATCAGTGTGAACCAATTACTGTGTAGGAGATCACATTGGCAGCCAGACAGAAGGACAACTGTGGGACAGAATGGAGATGGAAATGACACAGGGTAGTGAGAAGCTAGAAAAATTCCCGGGTGAGTGGAATGGGGAAATTGAAACCAGAAAATTAAACAAGGCCAAGAGTTTGCACAACTTACAGCCAGCTGGTGAATCCCAAGAACTTATTTTCCCTAACCAAGGGCACTTCAGAGTGAATGGTTCATACCTGTCCTCCCTAGCCAAAGAATGCAAGGCTTAAATCTCCCTGGTCTGGGAAATAAAGAACAGAGACCCAATTAATGTCATTTGTGCTGGCTAAACCCAAGGACAGACGAAATCAGGGGAACCAATAACAAAAACCCCATTAAAAGCCAGACAGACTCAAGATAAAAACAATGTAGCAGAGGAAAGATCTCCCAGATCCCCCTATGTGCTCATTTTGATGCATCATCATATTAAAAATGCACCTGAAAAGCTGATGAATATTCTGCTGAAACCCTCTCCCAAGATTCTCACCTGCAGAAAAAAAATAAAAAGCCCTCAGGACAAAGACTCGGTGTGGGCTGGCTCCAGAGCTGGCCCATGCCCCTTCCCAGGGAGCAGTGGGCAGCAGCAGCTAGACCAGGCTTACCCCCGATCCTGTCTCCAGGGGCTCCCTTTCTCTGACTTCCCAGTGAGCTAACAGCAGCCCCCATTTGGCTCACTCATTTCCTATAACTTTTCTAGAGAGCCAAAGCAGAGCACCTCCTAGAATCTCTCCCGTTACTTCTTCTACCTTAAGTCCTTCCTCTGTTTTACTCTTCCAGCCTTAATACACTCTCAAAATCAGCTGGACTCATGTTGTGAAATCTTTCCTACATGAAGTCAAGAACCCATACACTACAGCTGGCCCTAGGCAGATGCACTCAAGGCCAGGCCTCCTGTCCAGTAACAGAAAGACCCTTAAAGAGATGTCTGTAGAAGTCCTCTTATTGAAAGAGCCCTTTGGCTTAGTCCCAGACAGCTGCTCTCAGGCACAGGCCAGAGTACTGTGGAATTAAACGCTGACTTGACAAGCGAAACTGAACCTGTGTTTCAGGGTTTGCCTTTCTAGCTGGCAGAGTGTCCAAACTTCTGCACATCATCTCATAGAGATTTCGGTGATGATGCCCCAACTGAATTAGGACCAAATCCAAGGTTTAGTTGGGAAACAAAAAAGTACGTGGGCCTAGCTGCTATGTGCACGGTAACCAACACCACAAAACAACCAGGGCCACTGCACGTAGTTCTGTACACCACCTGGGACCGAAATCCCTCGTCACCAAGCCGCATGTCGCCGGGGCTGCATCTATCCAGGGAAGGTGACTTTTTCTAATTCGCATCAAAGCTGGAAGAGTCCAAACCATGACCCGCGGAGACAGCTGCATTTTCTGGAGGGGGCGCCTTTCTCCGATGGCATGAAGATGTCCTATGGGCTGGCTGTGACTTAACCCTGCTTTTCTGTGGTTAAGTGTCAGTATTACCACTCCCCCAAACAAAACTCTCACAGTTCAAAGAGGATAAAGGATTCTCTTCTTCCTGAAAAGTTTGTGAAGTGCAGGAATTTCCCACAAAAAGTCATCGCACCGAGGCATCGCACTCAACAAACACAAAGAAACAGATGTCCGCTCCTCACCTCGGGGGCCATCCAGAACGGGGTGCCGACCGACGTGTTCCTCCGCAGACGTGTGTTGGTGAGTTGAGCTGACACACCTAGAAGGAAACGGGGTTGTAGCTGAGCAGCAAGCAGAGGACGATGCTAGACCAGGGGCTGGCGAACTTTCTGTAAAGGATCTGGTAATAAACATTTTAGGCTTTGAGTCTTATATTTTCTGTCCCATCTTCTCAACTCTGCCACCACAGTGCAAAAGCAGCCACGGAACACAAAGGAACAAATGAGTGTGCCTGCGTTTCCACCAACATTTATCAATGAATGCATACAATTTTTCACATGCCATAAAATACTCTTCTTTTGATATTTTCCCAACCACTTAAAAATGTGAAAACCATCCCCAGCTCAAAAGCCACAGAAAAACAGGAGGCAGGTCTGAGTTGGCTGACAGGCTCCACAGTCTGTGGACCGCTGTGTGGGAGCATTTATCACCCTCTCTAAATCACTCAAATGTTTTTTTTCCTAATAAGCATTTCTATCCATATTGCTGAAAACCTGAAATCAGAAGAAAATATCAACAACCAGGATCAACCCCAAATTTATTCCTATTATATTTCCAATATGTTTCAGGTGATTTCTTTCTTAAAATGGTGTTTCATTTTATGGAGAAAGAAAATTGGCATGTATTATCTATAATAGAGCATCAGTGTAAATATAAAAAAAGTTTTCAGTACCTTATCTTACCTAGAAGCCTAGGAAACTAGCAAGAAAACTGTCAAATGGAAAAAGAAATTGACTCATATTATTATGTAGGCCTCAATGTCAAGCACCTGAATTTTAATCTAATTCTAATGTACTGTATCTGTCTTAGCCTTGAGTCAGCTCTCATCTTTATACCTCAAGGGAATGAAGTAGAAGTAAATGTACATTGGGTTAGGAGTCCGAAGACCTGTTTTTTTCCATCAGGGTTATGCCTTTTCCTAACTGTACGACCACTCACAGACCACTTCACGCTAGGCCACTCGGCCGCACTACCACAGACCACTCACCCTAAGCCACAGCTTTCTCATCACCCAACTGGGGATAATGATACTCATCACACCTAACGCAGAGTTCTTAAAGAACAAACAAGAAAACAAATTTGAAAAGGACTTATAAATTGTAAAGTACTTTACAGATATAAGGCATTCTTTTATTCCAAGCAAAAATTGAATGCGGCCCTTAAGTGAATGATAAGGATTGCCACTAATGCTATCGATGAGAAGAACTGAGAAAACTGGATATGTGTACATTTTAGCAAAGGGCACACCTGTGAAAACATCAAGCATAGATTCGCAGAGGGACAACGGGATGTTTCGGGGTGGGGAGTAGGTGTGCTAGCTGCTAGCACTCTCTTAATTAGAAGGCTGAAGAGGGCTCTACAGCCTTTACTGGCCATGGATAATTTCTCATTTTACCCAATCCTCCACTACAATTCTGGTTTCAAAAAAAAAAGCTATACTTTTCTGTGTTTAATTTTCAGAAATTTCTTTTGCAGCAACCGGAAGTTCAGGAGACTTTTATTGGAAAGATCAGGACCCTTTAGCTTCATGCCAAATCACAAAGCTGCTGACAGGCTAAGTCAGCATTCATCCCCATCCTCGTCTTCTAGGTTCTTCCCCTCACGGCATACTCACTGCCCCCAGGATTGTGCAAAAAATACATCTCTGATGTTATACACGCAGCACATTCGTGGAGTTACACCATTCCTCATACAGGAGAAGCATAAGACTCAAAGTGCCCGCGCCCACCCATTTTTCTTTGCATGCTTTTTACTAGACAGACCAATATACCTAAAGTAACTTCATTTACTCCTGAGTAATTTATTCTGAGCAAATGATTCACTGATACATTTTAACACTGAATTCTTTCTGACCAATGAAACAATGGTTATTCAAAATCATCAATCTCTTCTACTATGTTGACACTGATAAAGGACATTTTAAAAAGTGCTTTTGTAAATTTTTTTAATTATTTGTAACAATCATGCTAAAGTACTAACTGTTGCTGAACTCATTTAGAAGATTCAGCCATTCAATAAACTTGAAAACCCAAATGATTTGTTGGTTTGTGAATATCAATACACTAGCGTTGCAGGCAGATAGTTAATAGTTCTCTGGCCTTAGGTAATATTGCCCTGCATTTCTTCTCGCACTTGCATTTCCTGTTAATGTTTCCAGCTCAACCAGCCTCACGTGCAGCAGCAGTAACCACAATTTTAAAGGGATGTTGGTTCCCAGACCCAAAGGACTAGTTTACCTTCTGCTCACTGGGAATAAGCATGCCTAAGGCTAGAGAAAGTCATTTGAAAAGACCAAACTGCTTTCTCTTTTCATATGCTAAAGAAGAAATGACAAAATGTAAATTATAAACAATTGCCCTGAGACATGAAATTCTTCCCAGAAAAGCAAAAAGTTTTCCTGTCAAATTCTTCTTTTGAAACACTTTTATTTTCTATCTTTAATAAAATTGCTTCTAAAGCTGAAAATAGATTAGCAAACAGCATCTCCTAGGGTGATCCATCTGGTAAATCCCCCATTCGCCAGCCTGTGTTTGACTGGAAAAGTCCCTCAGCCTATGGTGTAAGACTCCAGTCTTCTGAGATTGCAATAAATTGTTGCCCTTGGCTAAACCGCACACATCGAGAAAACAAACGACAAGCAGTCATTACCAAAGTCAACGAGCTTAACTCCTCCTTCTGTTGTCAGAAGAATGTTATTCCCCTTGACATCACGGTGGATGATTCGGTTATTGTGCAAATGCTGAAGGCCCTGCATGGCATCCCACCACCACCAAGCAACAGGAAAGAGAAATGGAAAATTCACACGGTTATTTTAAGCAATTATTGTACTACTAAAAATCTAATCGAAGTCCACATTTGGCTAACCTCCCTGCTGTTACAGACCTTGCAACTAATGGGGAGGTTTCCCCCTTGCTAACATGCAGTGGGATCCAAAGACGGCAAACTGCCCCCTCTGCTGTCATCCCCAGCTCAGTGGGCTTTCTTACCAACAGGGCCCCATGTAAGATGTATGAGATCACCGCTTCGTCCAACCGCTGGCCGAGCCTGAGCAGCCCTTTGACAAGCTCGGTGACTGAGCCCCCATTACACAGCTGCAGGAGATGCAGGGGAGAGAGACAACAGCAGGACACACACAGAAAGAAAAGAACAAGATGTTAAGAATACAAGCCCCATGTGGTAAAATAAATGTGCAGATCACAAAACTCCAGGTCAGAATAATTAAATTTCAAATTTCCATTACATGGGCAAAACCAGTTCTGTGTGTGCATGTGTTTATTCAGGTGATGATTTATGAGTGAAAGTGCATGTCTAAAAAGTTGATTTTTAAAATTGTCAAGTGAAATATAAAAAGCGCAGGCCATTATTAGAAATTTAACAGAGAAAGTATGGCAAATTACTGGATATTTTTCATTTTATATAAATACTGTCTATGTTTATAAACATGCATTATGAGGATAAGGAAAGACCAGAAGAGTCTAGACGGATGCCATTGACGTTGAGGCAGGAATACATCCCCCTTTCCAAATCTTCCTGTCTCCTGTGCTGGCACTGCAGGCAGCAGAAGCCCAACCGGCAGCTCTTCCTGGAGTTGCCATTGCATCCCACATGTATGGAGTGGAGCTACATCATATGTGCACGCAACCTTCTCATAGTCAACTTTAGATATTCAGCAATTTCATGCTCTTCTTTTTTGCCTGTAATTAAAAATGCTATAAAAGTATATGTTGCATATTTGTTCTTTGTTATGTATTGTCCATCACTGAGATTTGAGAGTATGTAAACCAGGTATTATTCTACTTTCACAGCAATTTAAGGGTTTTCTTGAATAATAGTTACTAACTGCAGAAGTCAATTGTGCAGGGTAGGATTGGATGTATGTCATCTTAAATCAAAGGTTCTTAACTGGTTTGAGCAGGGCTTGTAGTTGAAATGGTAGGCAGTATGTATATGCATTTTGCATTTTTCTTCTAAAAAAACAATTCAGAGTTTACATCAGATTCTCAGAGCCATCTTTGTCCTTATAAAGATCGAGACCCTGCTATAGAAATGTGTGTTTCCTTTTGGTTCTTTGCAATTTGGGGGAGAGTCACTACTCAACTGACTAGGGAAAACAGACTGGGGAGTTTTCCCAGTCAACTGGCTTTTCATAAGCAAGAAGCAACGAGGGAGCACAGATTAGCACCTTTCCTTTAAAGAGACAACTTTTATCGAGATAATAATACATTAGGATCTATTCAACGGTAATCATGAACATCTGCAACATTTTAATAGAGGGTGAGCAGATGTTTTTATGTGATTGTGTGTTACTTCCTGATACATACACGGCAGACGCCTTTTACACACTCTAACAAGATTAGCTTGTGACCAAATCTGCCCAAATTGTTAGCATTTACATTTCTCATAAGCAAGAGTGTGTGACTAAAAGTCTAATACAGCATTAAAAATCTTTAAAACTGTCTTACTATCTTTAGGAGGGACCCTGGAAGCAGTGCAATGCATTGTAGACTATGACAGCCCCTTGAGTTTGAATGAAGCGTCCTTGGAACCTACTTTCTACTGATGTCAGGGGTAACTTGTAACTTAACCCTGATAGCTCTGATGACTAATGTTGAGTACCAGGGTAATGTCTTCCAAAGGATTCCTTTGATTCATCTGATTTCAGCTTTGTCTTATTTGGCCTGAAAGGGCAAATGATCACCAATGTCCAATATAATGCCCTCTTCATCAATGAATGCATGTTCAGTTCCATGATTCATAGAATAGTCTTAAAGGCTAAGTTTTTGATAGACATAAAATAATTTTTTCAAGACTCCCCAAACTAGACTCTATATTTCATAAAACAAGAATCAAAGAATTGACCACAGAATCAAATGATGATCATGGAAGAACCATAACACATGACATTGAGCGAAATTCTCAACCCACAAAATGAAAACCCTCTGGAGTGGATGGCATGCAGCTCGGAGAGCTTGAGAGAACAAAATGAGAGTGAGGATGTCCCCTCTTGGATGGTGTGTACAAGGGGATAATGATGGGAACTTCAGTTTCTTATGACCCTCTTCTCATTTGGAAATCTGAAGGGGACCTGCTGACCGAAGTGCCTCGTGCCAACAAGGGGGTATCCCATTGAATGGAACTGGCAGTACAGCATGGTGAGGCCAGCCAAGCCTGGGATCAGAACACTTCTCTACAGCTGCTCACGACTTGTGGGAGATTTACAACTTCATGTTCCAACTGAGGGCAGGGACAAGGACAAAATTCGAATGAGGAAAAGAGAGTGAGGCCCTCAGGACAGGAAGGAGTATCAGAGCCCAGGGGCACGGGGAGACATGGTAAGGCAGAGTAGGAGGATATGGGGGCCCCCACAGTGTGAGGCCCTGTTCTCACTGCCGTGGCTGCACAGGAGCATCTGCTAATGCCCAGATCCAGGTGCCACTTCGGGAGAGGGGGAGTGGGAAGGAGAAAAGTAAAGGCCCTAATGTTACTAAGTCCTTATCCAAAGGATTGAGCTTTGAACTGGACTGTAAAAATAGGATATAAATACTAGAATTTGCCCCTTCCCAAAGAAGTCCCTCAGTTAAGCTGAATTTAACAGAATGAGTTAAAGTCAGTTGTCTCCACTAGGCAATCTGGGGGCTCAAGAACAAGTTTGAGTTCAGTTACTGAAAAGAAAATTACCTCTTTGTTCTCAATAGTGTGTGATCGTCCAGTTCATACCCATTAAACTTCGCTCAAACACGAACAGGACACTGTCTCTGCCCTCAAAGAGCCAGTAATGGACACATGGGTAATTAGGAGCATGGCATGTGGAGCTAGGCATGTGCCTAAGGGAGAATGGTGGCACCGAAGAGGGAATGGTAACCTCTGATGAGAAAGAGCAAAGAGGGGACAATTGGGGAAATCGTCCTAGAGGATGTGACATTTGCAATGGGTTTGAAGGAGAAATGAGTTTATGGAAAGTGGATAAAAGAGGAAGGGCATCCCTGGGAGAGGAGCAGCATGCGTATAGGCAGGGAGCCTGAAAGAACGAGGAATGTGTGGGTGTGCCCACGCGTGGGCGAATTCTAAATCCTCTGCTACCACTGGGACAAAGGGCGGCAGGATCCTAGGGCAGGGAGATGGGAAGGAAGGTGCAGAACAGGGAACGACAGGTCTGCCCTGCTGAGGAGTGTGGGCTTTACTACTATACACTCATATATTATATAATAGTACCATAATGTACCATTAGGTAAGAATAGTAAGCTATTGACAAGTTTTAGGCAGGCGGACTCTGTTCAGATTTGCATTCTAGAAAGATGACTTGGGCAGCAGATTGGAGGTGGACAGACTAGGAAGACATCAGAAGCTGGACATGTGTTAGGAGGTGTTCAAGCAATCAGAGGCAAGGTCCAAAAGTCAAGAGTCATGAGGATGAAGAGCCTGGGACAGATACAGATGCTTGTAGGAAGTAGAATAGACAGGATTTCTGTCCAACTGCATGTAGAAAGTGAAGAAGAGACAGTCTGAGGATGTTGTGAGAATAGGAACATAACAGTAAGGTTCTTTGATCCTCTAAATCCACAGCAATTAATAGGAATGCAAGGCACTATACCACCTTTTCAGAACCACCCCTCAGCCTGGCTCCTCTCTCAGGGAGGTGTGTGCTTTACTGAATCGCAAGTGCACTATTAAAATTCTACCCAGAGAAAATTTAAGTTGAATACTGGGTGACAATCCAAGCTAACTCTACCCTGGAATTTTCCCCTGAAACCTCCTCTCGGTCTCCTGCCCTACTTTGAATGTGATCATTTTTGCAACCGGAGCCTATTCAGTGATATTTTATATAGGTAGCCAACATAAAAACTTTCTTCATAGCTGTCAAAGCTATGCAGGGATTAGAGCAGCCATTTTTGCTAGCAGGATCAAAACTAAGCTGTGGGTTTAAAAACAACAAAGTGATCTTTCCTTAGTCAGTGCATTTGGTTCTCTAAATGTCAGAGTTTAAGAGCTTTCTGACTGCCTGTGATTAACAAAATAAAAAACCACATAATTAAACTGCTCAGGGAAACTTTAAAGGAAGTTGCCCTGCTAAGTTGATAAGTTCCCAGCAGAGCGTTAAAGGGCAGCCCACGGATCACAAAGAAAGCTTCTCGGGTACTTGGATATAAAAAAGGGAAGCAGGTACACACTTACAATTGTCTACGCAGAGTAAATGTTCCGTGCAATGGACTGAATATTTTTAAAGCGTGACAAAAAATTTTATTAAAATGCATTGAATAAAATAATCCCCTTAGAGTTGTAAGAAGGCAACCAAGGGTCGGAGCACGCAGCCTTTCTTTATCCCCACCCACTCTCCAGCCTTCACACTCAAATACGGAGGGTGGCTCCAGGCCCCGGTTTCTTCCTACACCCTCAGCGTCCAGGGAGTGTGGCAGCTGGATGCATCTAGAATTTAATGAGCATTTTGCTCCAAACCAAGGAAAATAGAAAAATCATTTAGGTACCACATCTATTTTCCAAAACATCGTTGAATATTGACTCAATCACAGTATGTGCCTTTGCTAAGATGGTCATGATTTTAAGCAATAAAATGTTCCTTGCTCAATTAGCCATCAACTTTCCTCCATGTTATTAAAAAGGCCACTGCAACACAATCACCAGACCTTTATTCTAGTTGAAGCTCTAACTTTCAAGTGGATTCTGTACTGGCATGTTGATTTGATCTAGTCAGAATGAAGAATCAAGAGGAATTTCTTTTCAGGGTCCATTTGGTTCCATAGACTTTATCTTTCAAGGGTGTTAAGTTCTACAGAGGGTATAGGCAAAGGTCAAGGATCATCAAAATTACTCTAGATGATGCCTTAGGAAGCACTGTGCTGGACAATGTCCACCTCTCAGTAAGGCCAGAACAATGTATATTTTTCCTCCACACTGTTGGGAACAATTGTGTTTGTTTTACTGATACCAGGTGAAGTCACTGGTTTGCACCTAAAAGAATGAAAACTATGTCACTTATGAGCTCTAGTCGGAGTGGGGGGAGATGGGCCCACCTCCTACCTCAGTCTCGCAGGACACGTGCTTGCTGAGTAGAACAGTGGGGTGGGCAGGATCACTCCGCCTCTCAGCTTCTAACTCTCTCTTGCTTTTGCTGAACTCATACAGCATGTGTACATAGGATGTAACTCTGTGCCATTTCAAAGTTCCTCCCTTCTTCTCTGCTCCCAAGTGTTCTGGACCTTCCTCCTGGTCCCCGGCACTTCAGTGACCCTCATTCTGGCATCCTGCCAGAACCAGCCATCTGAATCAGTGTTTCCTGGCCATCTCTGGCCAATCAGAACCTACCAGTCCTATGCTCCTGACCACCGGAGTCCTGCTGTGACCCTGATTCGTTAATGCGATCAACTTGATCTGTGCTGCATACCCATGGGTGAGGACGGTTTAAAGCATTACACCCGTAGTGATGTTCAGGCCCAGGCTGGACTTTCTGGAGCCTTAAAGCAAAGATTGAACAATGGCACCCCCCCACAACCCCTCCAACTGGCTTAGTTACTGAACATATACATAGATCTCTGGGAGATAAAAAGATATTAAAAATAAATTCATCTGGTTTAAAAACTTTTTTTTTACTTTACAACCTCATTTACTGGTACCCTGCACTCCAAAGCATTTCTTTTAAGTTGAACACATGATTCATGCTGAAAGTAATAGTATCTACCTACCAAAGGTTTTATGCTGAAAGAAAAATAGAAAGAATGTACCTGTAGTTCATGTCTTAGCACATACTAGGTATTTGTTTTTGAGTATTATGTTTTTCTTAAAGGTCTAAATTCTTATTATATTTAATTTAGGTGAGAGATAATGTGACTTATAGATTATTTAAATTTAATATTATCTTAGAATAAAATGTATTCAGAAATTCTCCAAAACATTATTGTATGTGAGTGCTTTCTCTCCATATCTTTCTAATACAGGGGGTGTCTGTTATGAAAGAGAGCTTTGGTTTACTTTCTGCTAACAATTAGTAATGAATTTCAGAAATGACGTTTTTATTTGCTTTTGTTTTCAGAGCTGTGGTGATTTAAGAAGGTTATTAATAACATTGTTCTATCTTTTAGAATTGCTCTGTGGAATAGCTGCTCACTGGTCCTTCCATCTCATTCAGCAAGGAAACAGCAACAGCGACATAAATTTAATCTCAGTGTGCATGATGAGGAGCACAATGTTAAGCAGACTGTAATTTTATTGTGTGAGTCTCCTAAAGCGCTCCTAAAAAAGCTGCAGCAGGAACAAAACGGCGGAGGTGCTGTGTGACGCCATGGTCTTCCCGCTGCGTGTGTGAGAGAGACAGACCAGGGACCGTGGGGCCCCAGCCAGGCAGCGAGAGTCTGTGTTCCAGGATGGCAGACAGCAGTGGGGGCCCCAAGCAAAGTGCCCATGTTTGGTTCTCCCTCCAGTTCTGCCACTTAATTCATTATGTGACCATAGAGACATAACGGAGAGACATCACTCCTTCTCTGGGCGCTGTTCCTCCCCTGAACACTTCGGGACTACCCTGAAGGAAGGCTGAGCTTCCCACCAGTAGTTCTGGGAGCCCAGAAATCACCATTTCTATAAGCATACTGTGGGCACTGGACACACCTAATCACCAGCAGTCTGGCACAGAGGGCCCGTTCTGGGACATAAAAGACCTGAGGACATCTGGCTCCCCATGCCACCAATGTTGGCGCGGAACAAAACAACCTGCAAAAGGCATAAATGTCAGCATATTGTGATCCTGAGATAGGAATACTTCAGTGTCTTGGGGCAGCCTCATTACCTGTCTGCCGTCACCCTGAAAAAGCAAAACCAGTCAGCAGAGGACAAGGCTCAGTCCACAGTTCTGGGCTCCTTCTCAGCTACCAGAACCATGCCCAGCCCTTTCCAGCCACCTGGCCATGACCGAAGGGCTGACCTTAGGTCAGTCCTTATCGGGAAGAGCATTGATTCTCCAGGTGGCCGCAGGTATGAGCAGCCCACCTGCCTACCTGGCCAAGTCTGGAAGTTCCGTTCTCCATATTTAACTACAGAGCCTTTTTGAGTCAGGAGACAAAAATGGACAGAAACTTCATTATTAAATTACAGTGAGGTTTAAAACATGGAGAGCTTACAGAGCTGAAGAAGAATATAATCAGAGACCTTAGAAATCATACTTTCCATGTCCCAAGAAAAGCAGCATTTTTTAAATTATGGATATTCTTGAGCTTCACTGGCAGGATAAAACCTATAATATTCTCAGGGAAGGGAAGGGAAATAATAAAATCTGAAAGATTATAAGAATGTGTTATATGACAACCAGTCAACTAAACAAAGATGATTTCTGAAAACCAAAACCCCTTACATATTTATATCCCGAGGAAGGCAACTGATGTGACAGAAATGTTCAAATTGGTTTTCCTGCAGATTATCCCATCTGAATATAATGAATTCCCCATACATGGTTGCTATGGCAACCAATATATATCTCCCCATGTCATGCAGAAGATTCAGAGAAGGGGGACTAGATGGTGAATCGAGTGCTGGCTTCTCCTTCAGTGCTTAAGGCTTTCACGCGTGTCCCCATGCTCCTGGATCACATGTATGACCTTATGCACAGAGGCATGTGCTGGTCCAGAGGGGCAGAGTCCAGAACAAACCAGGGCGACCCTGTGAGTCCCAATAAACTAATTCCATAGATTGTCATTATTGTGCCTTTGCAATTTTAGTCCCATTGGGAATTGGATTTGTGGGGAACTGACTCTTGCCCCCACATACACACATGCACTTCCATTAATAAGGGAGAAATAAGGCAGGAAGACAGTGGAGACAGTGGTGCTTCTTTTCGATTCCTTCTTCAGAGCTGCTGGGAGTGCTGCTCCCAGCTCCCAGGGGCACTTTTCACCAGGAATTGCCCCCAGCTACAAGGGAATGCTCCTCCCCCCAACCCAAGGTCACTTTCCACCCTAGCACAGCATGCAGCCAGTGACTGGCTGATGCAGAGATACAGCTCTGCAAAAGCAGCCCAGCTCTCCATCTCCCGGAGGGCGGAGGGCGGGGGCTGAAGCCTCTACTGCAACCACATTGCCCTTCAATGTCCCCCTTGCCCAGTCCTGCCTGCCTTACTTCCCTCCAGGTCCATCCCTGCATGATCTCTCCAACCTGCTATACGCACAACCCTCAGAATCAGTTTGAGAAAACCCACTCTGAGATGTGGATTAATGAACAAAGATGGGCTAATCCCAGCTTGGTGAACCAAATACATCTTGGGCTAACAATTTTTGAAAATGAGTTGTAATTATGTTTTCTATAAAATGTTCCCAGTTTAGGGAAGAAAATCATCTTTCCCAACTTTATTCCTGTGTTCATGCAGTATTAGAAGATTATTAAAAATTTGAAGTGGAGAAACAGGAACATCTTTAGTCCACAGCCCCCTGTAACGACTGTGGAGAACGCCACATCTGGTCGGTCCCTGTGACACGCAGGAGGGACCGGCTTCTCAGACGTGCATGGCACAGTATGTAGGCAAAAAGCACACCGCCATGCCGCTGGAGCTCTGCCTGAAGGGACAGTCACCCACCGAGCCCCTCTTACCTCCAGGACCAGCCACAGCTGTCCTCCCACACAGTGATCTGCTTTGTAAAACATCCCATAAAACTTCACAACGTTGGGGTGATTAGGAAGAAACTGCAAAATGTTATATTCTGCCTCAATCTCTTCATCCATATCCTGCACATGGAGTAAAAAAAAGCGCGTGCTGGATTAAATCTACTGTGTGAGGAAGGGCATAGGTACGACATCATGATTGAGTAATTATTTAATAAAACATATCTGTATTTTAAAGATTTTATTTATTTATTTTTAGAGAGAGGGAAGGCAGGGAGAAAGAGAGGGAAAAATCCATGCGCCATTGATCAATTGCACCTCACACATCCCCAGCCGGGGACCTGGCCCACCACCCGGGGAATGTGCCCTAGCCGGGAATCAAACCGGTAAACTTTCGCCTTGTGGAGCCATGCCCGACCCACTGAGCCGTGCCGGTCAGGGCATATTTATTTGTATTTTAATGTCATCATTACCATATCTTGAATATATGTAATAATGGACATTCAGATCCCAATTAAAAGTCTAATTAGTATATCAATAAAATGTCTTTATTATATCCTTTTTTCTTTAACAGTACTATACATATCTTTTCAATTTAAAAAATATCTGAATTTCCAAAGCATTTAAGGAGAAGAAGCTTAAAGGACTCAACACAGGACAGGACACCTATAACCTCACGGTGCAAAACAGCCTCCAGCATCATAACCTCAATGTTCAGGGCTCTGAAATAAGATGCCAGGCTAAGATGGTTGAATAGCACATGTCTAAGTCATTTTGTAACTGACAGAGAGACCAGCCTCTGTATAAGCCCAGGGAATGAAATACATCATTCTTTTTGAGAGAATAACTTTCAAAGAGCCCAGAGGGCCCAAACCAAAACAATAGTAAACAAGACAAAAAACACAAAGTCAAGGAAAGTTTAATTCCAAATGGAGTCATCAATCAAATGAGCTGAAAAATCAGAACTCATTTTGACATTTCATACCAGGTCTCATGAAAATTATCCCTAGAACTAGACAAGAGGTTGGAAACTCAGTGCGAATGAAATACTGCATTGTGGTTACAATTTACCACCATCACTTACACTGATTGGGTCCAGAATTTTTACTGCAGCCAGGCTCCCATCTCTCCTGTTAGTGACCTTGTAGACCTTGCCATAGGTGCCTTTACCTATGGTCTCTACGATTTCCCAGGTGTCCGTGGGATCTGGAAGGGATTCAAATCCAAGCATCGTGGGGCTGTAATGAAACAATCCATACAGATGTTTCCTGGTGGGGAGAAAAGCTTGTTATGTGCAACAGAGCCCAACATTGAGGGCAGTGGGCTTTCAAAACAAGAATAGCTTTGGTTCTTAACCAGCAACCTTGTGGTACTTCTTCTTTTCATTTTTCCTTTCTATTTTAAGTGAAAAATTTAAAGGGGGATTTGAAGCCTCCTTAGAAAATGAGGTTTAAGTTAGAGGGGTCAGAAACATGACTCTAAAACACCTTTAAGGACATAATTTTTAAATATGGGGGGACTATATAAATATTTCAGGAGGGATAAAATGGGCTAAAGACATATCTGGTCATGACCAGACAGCTGTCACTCTAGGCTATGCCAGAGGAAGCATCTGTAAACCAGTGGTCTTAGGTCTCTGTCCCCGGGTTATGGTAACCATGACCAGGCCTCTCTGATGGTCACTGGAAACCAATCCCCAACTTTTATATGCAAAGTCTGGGCTGCTAGGAAAGATGTGGTGCCTGAACCAGGCATCAGTCAATGCACAGCAACCACTGCCAGCCAGGTCTTGGGTCCTGCAGGATTAGCTGAGCTCAAACCCTACCTACAGAGCAATGGACCAGTGTGGGAATCACACTGAGCGGTTAACCAGGAACTGCTAACTCACTTTGCCTATTTAATAAGGATGCAGCTCTGTGTAGTTTAAATACCGTTGACCCTTAAGCAATGTGGGGTTAGAGGCCCCTCCTGCAAGAGTGGAAAATCCATGACAATCTTCTAACTCTACAGTCAGCCCTTTACATCTGCAGATTCAACCAAATGCAGTTGGGAATGCAAAAATATGATTTCAGTCTGCAGGCGGTTGGTTGAATCCATGGACGCAAAAACCCATACACACAAAGGGCTGACTGTATTTATTGAAAAAAAATGCAAGTATAAGTAAATGATGCAGTTCTAACTCATATTATTCAAGAGTCAATTGCATTTTAAGTAGCAGCAATAAGCTTAGCAAGCAAGGTCGCCCAAGACTGGTCCCATGGAAAAGCCCCTCCGAGTTCTGTCGCTTCCGGGCTGGATGAGGGGCCTCAACCTCACTCTGCTTCTAACCCCAGGGGAGAGGCTGTCAGGCTCTGACATCAAGAGTTATGGCCTCCAATCCCCACACTGTGGCTTGGTGTTCACCCAGGGCAAACACTTCTGTCTCATGCTGGGCATTCCAATTTGCACTTTTAATTATTTCCTAGACTGCATTCTCCCCAGGTACAGCCTATGACCTGGTACAAGAATCCACTTTTTATCTGTACCCTTTCTGATGTGTAAGCATTCAAAGATATTGGAAACTATTACCAAAAGAAAAGAAAATCTCAAAAGCTGTGGGGTTGACGCTAGAAGGGACCCTGTCTTTCCAGAGTTCATCTGGCAGGCATGCCTCGCTCCAAAGGGGCCTGAGACCAGCACCTCAAGAGCCCAGGCAAGGCTCACCAAGGCTGAGGCACAGACCCCGAGAGGTCGGCTGGTCAAACGACTCCTGCCTTTCATCTGCTGGTTTCAAGATTCTATTCAACTCCGGCCTTTCCTCCCGGCCAGTGTTTTCACATCTATCTTTCTTACCACATGCTTTGTAATTTTTGCCATATCTATACTTCACCTGTGCTATTAGTTACTAAAAACATTTAAAATAATTGCTTTTTCATGAGAATTAATATCTGTAAAGGCACTTTCTATCACTATGGTAAATGCAAAACCAGTACCATTTACCATATTTCAAAATCAACTGCAAAAGGATGGTCACGTAACAAACAATAGTTATTCAAATCCAGCCAGATACTGCTGCCCCCCTGCTCTCCTTGCTGAAGAAGGGAGATCAAGTGATAGGAAGGAATTAAAGACTAGCACAAACTGTTCCCTTTGTGTGATCAGAAGACCTGAAAAAGAAATTAGCAAGGGAATAACTTCATCATTATGCAATTCGGTGTTCTTTATTGTGAGATTCCCCCAAACCTCTTATCAGCTTGAGAACTGCTCCAAGCTTGCTTCTACAACACCAAAATACAGGACCAGCCTGGGTGCTGGTCAGGGGTAGACCAGCTGGGAAGGAGAGGGCCGGGGACTGAAATGCGTTGCCTAGAGAGAAGAATCTGCCCCATCAGCATAAATGGAATTACCTTACTCTTGTCAGTGAGATCCCTGTTCTTCCACCAACAGGGACACTTGCATCTGGGCCCAGTGCCGTGACAGGGCAGCACTCAAGTCAGATGCCTGCACAGTCCTGGCCCTGCCCTGACCAGCCCAGACACTTGGGCTGGTTACTCACCTCCTTGTGTCTCAGCTTACTCATCTGCGCGATGGGGCTGCTGCTACTGGTGATACAACCCATTAATAGAGTTGCATTATGGACTAGGAGGCGATACGATAAAGTGAGCAGAGTGAGGGCTCAGCGAGTGTCGTCGGCCATCACAAAAGCAGAGCACCAAGTTCTGCTTCAGAACAGGCAAGGCCTAACAAATAGCTCTCTGTACTGTTTCACTGCTGGCTACAAACCAAACAAGGACCAAGTTAATTTTGCTCCAGTCATTTCCTACTTTCAGACGAATGGCTGGAGTTTGATATATGCAAATGAAATTAAATCATAGAATGCGGCAGCTGAAGAGGACCCTAGAGGCCATCAAATCAAGTGGTTTTCTAGTGATTTCTGGCCTCTAAAGCCTTTTGTTGAATTAAATCTCACTTAGGATGCTGACGCATAAGTTGAGAGAACAGGGCAGCGCTGGCTGAGGCAGGCTGGGAAGCCAAGTGCGAGCCCTGTGCCCCCTGCGGGAGAACAGACAGGGTGACCAACCCCCTGGTCTGCCTGGGACTGCCCCGGTTTTAGCAGTGGACATCCCATATCCAGGGAGACCTCTCAGAACTGGCAAACTGAGAAAGGTCTGTCACCGAGTATGTGGAGCTTCCTTGGAGCAGTGTTAGGAAACCATTATTTATATACCCCACACCCACGTCCACCTTGCCCCTTCTTATGAGCTAAATTATACCTTCCCCAAAACTGATACAGTGCAGTCCTAACCTGGTACCACATGATATGACCACACATGGAGGTAGGGCCTTTGTAGAGGTGAACAGGTAAATGGGGTCATGTCGGGGCCCTACTACAACATGGCTGTATCCTTATGAAGAGATTAGAGCACAGACATGCACAAAGAGGAGACCATGTGAAAACACAGAGGGAAAATAGTCATCTACAAGCCAAGAACAGTGACCTCAGAAGGAATTGACCCTGCCAGTGCCATGATCTTGGACTTCCAGTCTCCAGGACTGCAAAGAAAAAACTTCTATTGTTTATGCGCCCAGTCTGGGGTACTTTGCTAAGGTAGCCCTAGCAAACTAACACACTCTCTTTTTACAGATGAAGAAGCTAAAACCCAGACTGGTGACATGACTGTTTAAGGGATGTACGGAAACAAGAGTCTAGTCCTTCAGAGGCGAGGCCCGATCCCATGACCTCAGTTCCACAGAACAGAATGGAGGGAGACAGCTAGTTAATAATGGTCGTCTCTGACCAACTGTACCAAATATTGAAAAGTTCTGCGTGGGAATACCCCAGTCACATGGAGGCTAAATGCTGCCACAGACCTATTAGACGGAAACCTCTGCTCCTTCACAAACTAGATCTCCTGCAGAGGGATTCATCTGCAGTTGGTTCCAATGATGAGCAGGTGGGGGCTGATCAGTCAGGTCCCACTGCCATGCCCACCACGTCCACCTGAGCACCCAAAGAGAAGGTTAAATAAAGGTGCAACAGACTAGATGCACATTCACAGGGTTGACAGTCTTCTCCCTTTGAAAACAGTACCCGCCTCTATCACCTCTCTGACAATTGACTGAATAGTCAGCTCAAACAGTGGCTGCTTGTACAGCCCTGTGAAAGTGGTGATGATCGGCTCTGGAGAGGCAGCTGGAGCAGCCCTTCTAGAGGCCAAAAAGCTGTTGCCGGCCAGAATGTTAACCTGGAGGGCAGGCTGCACTTCTGCCTATGTCTGTGTTTGGGGCTGGAGCCTCATGGCAATAGCCAGGATTGACCAAAAAAAGAGCCAGGAGCAGTTTGAAATGAAAAGGATGGACCTGGGACGTCAGCATTCTGCAGAACCCTCAGGAGTCCACATGGAGACACCTGCATTTCCTGCTGTCCCCAAAATGAGGCCTCCATTATGTATGTGGACATAAAGTGAAAAGGTGACCTCGAGAAGCTAGAAAACTCAGGTTACACAGGCTATACTCTCTTTGAAAGACAAACAGGACTAAGTCTGCCTCTGCAGAAGTAATTTATGGCATTTGCCAGCATGGGGAATGCCTGTGCAGTTTACAAACCAAATCAAAAACTCACTGGCCTGGACTTGTCTGTGTGTGTGGTTGCTCTAAAGTTGCTCTAAAGTGAAGACTTGATGAACACTCTGTTTTTGCATGTAATGGTATTACGCCAATGTCTCAAATGATTTTTTATAAAAGTCACTTCTCTCTGAGAGCAAGATTCTGCTGTCCCCCATATTCCTGTATCATCCAAACCCTTTCACTACCAGCAACAGCAACTAGCAAGGCCAAGAGGATATCACCTAGGAAACATAGACCCACTCAGTAAAGGGTTACATAGGTATTAAAAGAATATTTTCCCATCTTTGTGCCCACATCGTTATTAACCAAATTTCTAGGAAATGCCAAAACTCTTCATTACTTAAGCTGATAGAGTAATAGACAGACAGACAGATAGATTGATAGATACATAGATATTTAGTAAGAGACTTTATCCTTGTGGTAATACAGTCCCTTGGAAGTTAAAAACCGTTGTCTTTTTCTTGTTTCGTTTTGTTTTTAGAAGACAAAATCTTAGAAGGCAGGAGCCACGTCTCTTTATGGCTTTCAATAATAATTTTGCTGTTGATGAGTACAAATGGACTGAACATGACCTCTACTTGCAGTTCACGGCAGGGCAGATCGCGCACCACCAAGAACAGCTCGGCTCCAGAGCCGGCTCGCCACAAGACGGGGACTTGCC